CCCCAAATTTTCTTGAAGATAGGGAGTTGTCTGATGCAGCTAGAGGTCCTGGGTCTTATATAGCACAGCAATGTGGTCAGTCAGCTCCCATCTAGAGGGCTCAAGGTTGGAAAGTCCTACACTTTGCTCAGGAGAAAAAGAATGTTCCATCTTGTTTATCCCAGAAAATACATGAGGCATTGCACATAATATTCTATTTTTATGTTGCCATCATTTGACTGCCTCCTTCTCTGGAGGCATGATCTTGTGTACTATAGATGGTCCCTGGCCCCTTCCTCTCTAGTGTGCTCTCTTGCACTGCTTTCTGGGCATCACGAACTAAGCATCTTTGCTCCACTGTGTTGTTTCTGCCTTGGTGCCACCTGGCCATGGACTGAATCTCCTGAAACTACTGTGAGTCAAATTAACCCTCTCTGCCTTTAATTGATGGGTATTGAGTATCCTGCCCCAATAATGGGGAAGGTGACTAAGTACTGTGTGCTTCTGGATTTTCTTTTCTACTCGTTTTTTCTTAAATATTCCTTTTTCTTAGTGACCCCAGATTATTTCCTATTTCAGGTATTACAGATGGCATCACTTATGAAGAAGAATATCTCAGTTCTTCAACATGGAGGGAATCTTAGTTACTACAGTGAGTACTCATTAAGCATGGGTTGAATGAGGGAGAGAAGTTCTGCAATAATTTGTGGTTCAACCTTTAGGCAAGCTCTATTTCATGTGTAATATAAGAAAATAAGTCGAATCAGCTACTATGGTCACTAGAACCAAAGACCTTCTGATCCAGGAAATTGATTTCATCCATTCATCTCTTCTTGAATTGGATCCAAAATGGTGCCTTGTAATAGGCATTTTAACATGTTGAAATATTATTTCTAAAATAGTCATTCAACACAGCCTGTCTGGAAGTTTTCTGGAGAACAGATATTTTTGGAATTCTTTTGACAGCCAGGCCAGGCGATTGTGGTAGAGAATAACTAATGAGTAGTCACTTTGTCTCTTAGCCTTGCTTCTTACTGGCAGGTGTAGTGAGTGCATACGCATAGTGGGCATGGTTCTGCAGTGGACCAGTCCTGTTGATTCTGGACCTGTAATAGGCTTTTGGTGTTAAAGTCAGTGCCTTATGATGAGACCCAGAGTGTTCTGTGTCAATATCCATAACAGAACCCTCTTAACAGCTACACTAGTCAAGGGGAATTTAGAATCAATTGCATATCCAGGTGGAGGTATACATGAGGTTACCCTAAGTGTGTGTGTGTGTGTGTGTGTGTGTGTGTGTGTGTGTGTGTGTGTTTGGTGCTGAAGATTGAACCCAGGACCTTCACACTGAGCTATAGCATCAGACCTTCCACCCTTTTTTAAAAAAGTGTTTTCACTCAGGGCCCAGGCTGGGCTCAGATTTGTGAACCTCTTGCCTCAACCTCCCAAAGTGTTGAGATTATAGAAATCACCATGCCTGGCCAAAAGTGCTTAATTTTTCAGAGTCTTTGACTCCATTTTCTTTCTCTATTGTTAAGAGAAAACTCTAGTTTATTACTGGAGTTTTCCAAGTGTACGTCTTCATGGCCTTTGATTTGGTGATGGAAAGAGTTATGCCATCTTCAGCAGCTTCCATATCAGTTGCCAGCATGAAAGAGAAGTGCCATTCTCTCCCCAAAGGGCAAAATGCTGCATGGATGTGTCATGGAGCCAGCGCTCAGGCATTGTCCTAGGTGAAGTGAAGGCAGACAAGAGGTAGGCTTAGCACAGCTCGTGCTGAAGACTGCCCAAAGGCAGACCACTGTGTTTCTGGATAAGCTCTCAAAACCATAAGGGACTGAACTCCTCACATGAAGAAGAAAGGATGCAATGGAGCCAGAGCACACAGTGACTGATGGATGACGCTCGCTGCCTCATAAAATGGCCAGGGTAACTATGGGACGACGGATGCACACACTACCTCCAATCTCCAGAAAGCCGGCCTCGTAAGGAGGGGAGAAGGTCAGCAAGGTTTCCCAGGCCAAGACCCTGCGAGGTCTGATAAGAAAGGGAGCAATTTTAAAAATCAATGGAATATTTACTAGAGACCTGAGTATAGCCCTCAATCTATTGTAAAGGATGCTTCCCAGGTATCTATAAATAAAAGACACTTGTCCCTCCAGGAGGGGCTCCTAGAAACTGAGAAAAGGTATAAGAGAGAGGGAAAGAAAACCCTCTCCATATCAGAACCTTCTGTGATAGACGGCATCTCCTACTGACATTTTCATTAGCAGGAAATTTATGTTCCTATTTTTGTCTGTTGTAATGACCATTCCTAGCCATAGTGTGGTGGCGGCTAATGGACAGGAATGGAGAAAAAAAATCCTTAATTAATGCAGAAGTGAAGCATTTTCTTTCTACACTTTGAGAAGCCAAGTAATTCACAGCAGTTCTTGGCACTGGAGTGGAGGTAAAATAATTATACACAATTTCTAGTGATTAAAAGATTGTAAAATAATTTTAGTTACATCTTAAAATTATTTATCTTGTAAATGGGAAAGAGTGAAGAAATGGGAATAATGAATTCAGAGGTTCAGAGCAGACCTTGCAGAAACTTCCTTTTGGATTCTTGACTGCCTGGGAATTTGGGCGGTGGGCTTTGGGTCTGGGGTCTACCTGAACCTCTTTCTAGTCAGTATCCTGCCGAGGTGGGTCAGAGTTCTGTCCCTGAGTTATGGTCATGCCTCTCTAATGACCTCTTTGTTTTCCCTTGGCATTTACATTTTGCTTTTGTTATTGCTATTGCTTTTCATTTGAAACAAATATCCTTGTGGGCCACTGTTTAATTCAGTTCCTTGCATGGTTGGAGGGGAAATCAGGCCTGCTTAGGGGGAAATAAACCCATCTCTGGCTATTCTTTTTAAAACAAAGATCTTAAAAAGAGTAGCATTTTAAATCTTCACAAGGGCTCTGCAAGAATGTTTTTGTTTGGTTTGGCTTTTTTTTTTTTTTTTTTTTTTTTTTGCAAAATCAGCAGTCGGGTATCATAGAGGCCAGGTACATTGCTGAAGACAGAGCAGGGAGGTAGGTAGTCAAGACTACTGAGGCAGATCTGTTGACTCCATGCTGGTTCTGGGCCCCCACCTGAGCACACTGCATTTTCCTCTTTCTTGAAAGCATATGGGAAGAAACAGGAGCTAAGTCAATGGAGAGCATGGTGCGGGTGAACTGGGAAGAAACCTCGTGCTATGGGGTGCTCCTGAGCTCCTGGCAGACTCATCGCAACCTGCTGCCCTGCAGCCCTGGCTGGTGCCACTGCTCAGGAGGGGTGCACTCCTGGCAGCCTGCAAGAGTGGGGACAGCGGAGATCCCCACATAAAGGAGGGTCCTCTTTGCCACACTCAGCTTGTGAGATGGTTCCTCAATTTGGAAGCTTACTTACATTGTTGATTTCAGACCATTCTTCTCTTCCAATGTAAAATGTAAATCATGTAGATTTTCCTTCAAGCACTGATTTAAGGGCACTCTTTCTTTCTTTCTTTCTTTCTTTCTTTCTTTCTTTCTTTCTTTCTTTCTTCCTTCCTTCCTTCCTTCCTTCCTTCCTTCCTTCCTTTCTTCCTTCCTTCCTTCCTTTTTCCTTCCTTCTTTCCTTTCTCTTCTTTTTTTCTTTCTCTCTTCCTTCTTCTTTTCTTCGACATGAATATAGATGATCTGTTTTTTGTTTCAAATTTCACTTGCCCACTGCTAGTATGTAGGTAAACATGATTTATTTAGCCTTATTGGGTTAGCTAGGACCTCTACAATGATGCTGATGAATGAGCCACAGGAGACCTTCTTGCCTTGCTCCCAGTCTTAGGAGAAAACTATTATGGTTTTCATGGTTAAGGTTCTGTGCCTTAAGTATATAAGCTGTAGCTATTATTTATCAAGTTGAGAAACAATGCCTGTGTTCCTAGTTTTCTAGAGTTTCATTTTTTCACTCAAAAGTTGAAGTTTGTCAAATATTTTCAGATTTATCTTCAGATTAATGATATGATAGATTATATAGATGTGTTAGTGAATGGTGTACTAGACTTACCATGTTATAACAAATCCCACCTATGAACATATAAGTCTTCTTATACATTTTCAATTTGATTTGCTAATGCTTTGTTGAGAACTTTTACATCTGTGTCCCTGAGAGATGGTGATCTATAGCTTACCATTTTTGTCGGGTTCTGATGAGCAGATCACTCTGGTCTCTTAGGCCAGTTAGGAAGTATCCACTCAACATCTATTTCTGAAACAGAATCAGAAAAATTAACATTATTATTTACTCTGGTTCCTCATTATAATTCTTTGAAGCCTTATAATGTTTACATTCGTAAGTTGGAATGGTTTTATTCTGGGTTGTTTGATTTTATTGTCTGTGATGGTATGAACAGCTATTTTGAAGAAAACAATACATTATAATAGCCAGTGCTGATTTAATATCATCTTGTTTTGAAATCCTACCATGCTTTTGTTCTTCTGTCTCCATCGGTTTTACCATGTTGTATCTTATTGGATTTTATTATATGTGATAATATACACAAAATGTTTTATGGACAAGGAGATAATATAGTAACCATTGTTTGTTTTCTGTTAGTTCTGAATACCCTGTAATGCTTTCATTCTCTTGAATGGTGCTATACTATTTTGTTATGTTTGATACTATAGTGTATGAAGGTATACTCAAATATTTTAAATACTACATTCTAAACTGATATGAGAATGCCTTAGTCTGAACTTAAAAGTATGTTTTATTGTATACATTTTTACATTAATATTGTAACAATAATAATTCTACTGTCATTGAACATTTTAATAAACATAAACTTTAAAAAACATTATTATTTACTTTGATAATTTTGTAGAATACACCAGTGAAACTATCTTGATCACATGTTTGCTGTTCTGAACTTTGGTTTTTATAGATTTAATTTTTCTAAATAAAATATAGAACAATTGAGATTGCCTTTTTTGTGTAAATTTGCAGTACATTGTATCTTTTTTCTTTTATTCAGGCTCTGTAGAGACTGGCAAAATTTTCCAGTGCCAACTATATTTCAAGTAGTCATGGTGAGGTATTGAAAAATTTTCAATTAGCAATAATCATGCCACAGATAAACCTCATTGACTACAATACTGCCACTATGCAAAGCTCATTGTATCTTTTAAGAAATCCATTTCATGTAAGTCATTAAAGTTGTGGACATAGAATGTTTGTAATAATCCATTATTATTTTAATGTCCCATGGATTCAGTAATAATGCCTCTCATTTCTGATATTAGTAACTTGTATCTTTTAAAAAAAATTTGCCTGGGTGTTGATTTTCCAGTTATATTTACTTTTTAAAAACTGCTTTTATTTCATTGATTTTTCTGTATGCCTTTTATGATTTTGATTTCATTGATGATTTTAAAAATATTTGTTGCTCGTATTTTGGTTGATGCTGAATGTAATTTACTCTTCTTTTTATAATTTCCTGTGGTAGAAACTTTGATTGTTGTTCTTTTCCAGTATACAGTCAATGCTACAAGTTTCCCTCCAATCACTGTTCTCACTATTACATGAATTTTAATAGGTAATATTTTAATATTTCTTCAGTTAAAATGTTTTACAATTTCGCGTGAGACTTCCTTGATCCATGTGTTATTTAGAAGTCTATTTAACCTCCAAATGTTTGGGAATCTTTCAGCAATATTTATGTTATTGATGTCTACTTTAGGTCCATTGTGGTCTGAGAGAATACTTCGTATGATTTCTATTCTTTTGAATTTTTAAGATATGTTTATGGATAAGAATGTGTTTCATCTTGATAAATGTTCCATGAAGTTTGAAAAGAATGTATATTCTGTCATTGTTGAATGGAATAGTCCATAAAAGTCAATTAGATCTAGTTGATTGATGGTGCTGTCAGTTCAACCATATCCTTACTGATTTTCTGCCTACTGAATCTGTCAATTACTGGAGAAGGGTGTTGAAGTTTTCAGTTACAACAGTGGATTTGTCTATTTTTCATTGCATTTTTTGTCTTACGTGTTTTGATGCTTTGTTTTTTGGTGCATGCACATTAAGGATGGTTATGTCTGCTGGGAAAACTGACCCTTTTAGCAAGATGCAGTATCATGCTTTATCTTCAGTGATTTCCCTTGCTCCAAAGTCAGTTTTGCTTGAAATTAATACAGCTGATCCAAATTTCCTTAGGTTACTGTTAACATAGTATATCTTTCTAGGTCCTTTATGCCTCACCATCTACTCCACTGTATTAAAAAGTGGGTTTGTTATAGACAATACATATAGCTAAACCTTGTTTTTAAATCTACTTTTGTAATCTTTGTCCTTTAATTGGCATATTTATATCATTCACATTTAAAGTGACCATTGATAGCATTGGATTAGTATCTATCCTATTTGTAATTTTTGTTACCTTGTCCTTCTTTATCTCATCTGTTCTTTTTTTATTTTAATTTCTCTAGTTTTCAATGAATATTTCCTACAATTTATTTTTTTTCTTTTCTCTTTGCTTACAAACTGTACTTTTAAATTTTTTTAGTGACTATTCTAGAGCTTGCAATATACTTTTGTTACTAATTCAAGTCCACTTATGAATAACACTGCAGTGTTTCACAGGTAATATAAATATAATAGATTATTATTTAGGATTCTAATGAGAAAGCATACAGATACTTATGAAAGGAGTTTTGTTGAACAGACTTGCAGAAATAGGAGAGTCTTCAGGGTTGGTCTGCATGCTGGTGAGCTAGATGGCTCACTAGCTTCTCAGCCTGAGGTACTGAGACGCAGTATCAGTTTAAGATCAAAGGCCTGGAATCTCCCTATAGAGTCACTGGTGTGAGTTCGTGTTTGAAGGCTGAAGAAACTGGTACCCAAAGGCAGTAGCAAATACTGGAGCTATTTCAAAGTGAGAACACTTGCTTCTTTCCCCTTTTTATTCTATCCAGGCCATCAAACTGGATTGGTTTGTGCCACATACATCTTGGTAGAGTTTTCTCCACTCAGTCTGCTGGCCTAGAAATCATTCACAGAACTGTGATTCACTAATCTGCAAGGTGTTTCTCAATCCATTCCAGTTGACATTCCTTGAATAATGGTCACAAACAGAACATTCCACTCTCTTTCCTCCCATCCTTGGTATCATAGCTGTCATTCATTTCCCTTATCTGTTAGCTGTACTCACTGAAGACTTTGTTAATATTGTTATTTGAAACAAAATGCTTATTGTTAGATAAAGTAAGAATAAGAAAAGAAAATATTTTATCTTCATTTATTCAACTTTCAAATATTGTCTTTTCTTTATGTATATCTGAGATTTGAACTTACATCACTTTCATTCTTCTTGAAGAATTTCTTTTAACGTTTCTTGCAGGGCAAATTCCCTAGTGAAAAATTTCTTCAGTTTGTGTTTGTCTGAGAAAGTCTTTATGCATTTTTCATTTTGAAGGATAATTTCATTGGATATAGAATCTAGGTATGTGGTTATTTTCTTTCAATACTTAAAATATTGCTCTTCACTCCCCCTTGCTTGCTTCTGAAGAGGATTCTGTGTTGTTCTCATCCTTCCTTTGCTCCAGTTGAGCTGTTTTGACTTCTTTAATGTTTTCTGCTTCTCATTGATTTCTTTTAAGCTTTAAATGTAGTTTTTGGTGTTTATTCTGTTGAGGATTTTCTAGGTCTGCAGTTAAGTGTCTCTCAGTTTTGGAAATTTCTTGTAGTATTTTATTTTTTCTCTCCCTTTGCTATTCTCATTACATGTAATCCTATGCTACATTTTTTGCAATCACCTTCATAGCATTTAAATATTTTGTGCCTGTCCAAAAATTCTATTTATCTTTTAAATATTTATTTTATTGATAAATGATATGTTCATAATTGTGGAAGGAAATGTGATGTTTTAATACATATACACACTGTGAAACAGTCAAGTCACACTAACATATTGAAAATCTAAATTATTTATCACTTCTTTATGCTATGAACATTTAAAATTAAATTTAAAATTAAAAATTAACATTTAAAATTTAAAATTAAAACCTAGTTATTTGGACATATCTAATAATTATTAATAGATATAGTCACCCCATGCTGCGCAATAAATCAACAGCTTTTGTCCTTTCTGTCTATATGAAACTTGGTAAATTTAGATGAACATACCCGTTTTCTCTGGCTCCCTCCATTCCCAGGGTCTAGTAATTACTATTTTACTCTCTACTTTCATGAGTTCAACATTTTAGACAACACATAAATGAGATTATGCAGTGTGTGTCTTTCTATGGATGGTTACTTTACTTAACATAATGTCTATATTTTCAAATGATGGACTTTCATGTTTCTTAAAGACTGAAGGGGCTGGGGACATATATCTCAGTGGCACAGAGTCTGCCTTGCAAGTGTAAGGTGGTGAGTTTGATTTAAAATAAAAGACATATATATGTCATATATATATGTTTATATATATCAGACAAATATAGCTATTTGTCTATTAATTGAGCACTTTAGTTGTTTCTATACATTGGTTCTTGAAAATAGAGCTACAATAAACAAGGCAGTACACACATTTTTAAAATGTAGTGACTTCAATTGCTTTGGAAATATGCCCTGAAGTGAGATTGCTTGATTATTTGATAATTCTATTTTTTATAGTCACCTTCATATTATTTTTGAAAATGGATATACTCATTTAAAGTACCACCAGTGGTTTACATGAGTTCTCTTTTCTCTACATTCTTGTCAACATTCTTCATTCTTTTAAAAATCGCCTTTTTAAAAAATAGCCTGATACCTCACTGTGGCAAGAACACACAATGAAAAAGGGTCAATAAATGATATTGAGAAAGCTGGACCACCACATACAGAAGAATAAACATGTATCTTTATAATTATCAATTGAAAATGGGTTAAAGATTTAAATGCAAAAATCTCAAACTCTAAACTTACTAGAAGAAAATAGAAGGGAGAAAGTTTTACAACACTGGTCTGGGCAGTTATTTCTTGGCCACGAACCTAAAAGCAGGAACAAAAAAATGCAGAAATACACAAAGAGTCTTATATTATGCTGAAAAACTCTGTAGCGAAAGAAACAACAGAGTGAAGGGGAAAGCCATAGGGAAAATATACAAAGAATGATCAAATGTATAGTGAATATAAAAGAAACTTTGCTTTCTATTTCTCTAAAAATACTCTCTCCCTCACATTGAACACACTTAGCCTGTTTTTCTTGTCAGTTCTGAAAGTCTTCTTTTGTGAAGATCTTTACTGGCATAATAAGAAATACGATGAATATTATTGCTGAGTTCCACCCAACAGAAAGGAGGGTTGGTAAAGACACTACCTCCACCCATCTGGTGTACTGTGACTTCTGGGTCTTCTCCGAACTCAACATAATTATGAAAGGCAAATGTGTTGAATCAATTCAGGACCTCAAGGTAGCCATGAAAATGCAACTAAAGGAATTTAAGAAAAAGAACTTCCAGAACTGTTTCAGAACATGACAAGAACAATGGGATAAGTATTTTCAAAGCAGGGAGGATTAATGGAATTGTGGCATTTTACTCTAATACTTAGAAGTTTTAAACATTCACTACAGTTTTCCATCACATCTTGTACAATGAATAACAAGAAGTAACTCTATTAAAAATCGACAAAAAAGAAAAAAATGCCCAATATTGCTAATTTTGAGAAAAATATTCTTTTTATCTTATATTTTTTTCTATTTATATTTTAGCTTTGAGAATTTCTACGTTTGTGTTTACAATCTCATTGATGTTTTATGTGTGGTTCGCTAATGAACCTCTCCAAGGTATTCAAGATTTGCTGCTTTTTTCATTTACAGGATTTCCTTTTAATTTGTAGTTTCCACTTTTATGCTTTTGTTATCTATCTGTTCGTGCATTTTCCATTTCTCCCATTAAGGTATGTAGCCTATTGATCATAGCTCTTTGAAATCCCAGTCTGATAATTCTAAGATTTTTGCCATGACTATCTTCCTCTGATGCTCTCTTTTCCTCTTCAGATTTTTCTCACAGTATGTCTGGTTATTTTTTGTTTAATACGAGACACAATGTCACAGGGACAAGGAACTGAGGTAGTATGATTAAGGAAACATACTGTGTGCAGTTTAATTCTTTTAAATTTCAAAGAT